TAGGATTTGCGACATTAAAGAATAAAAAATAAATAAAAGTAAAATCTATATGAAAAAACCTTTAGCCTTATTTAATTTAAAAATCTTGGAAGCCACTGTTAAAGCGGGAAATTCAAAAGGTTAAATTACTGGGACAAAATTTGTTTTTTGAAAATATTTCCGTTTAATAAAATTTAAAATTCAAAAATAATTCGTAAATGTTCATAGTACTTCCAAAAAGCAATAATTTCCAATTCAGTGCAAATATCAGAATCACCAACTTACAATTAGAAGTAATAAAATTGTTTGTGGAACTAATAAAAAATATGAACTCAATAACTCATGCATTTCATTAGAATTTGTTTAATGAAGTAAAAGCAAAACAAACACTAGTGGAAATTTTCACAAAGTTTTACTAGAAATCCCAACAATTTCAGTCTACCAACCATTTTCAAAGGAATAATTTGTTTTGTTTTTAGTTCATTAATTATGTCTCACAATAGTTGCACCCCACAGTATTCATTTTGCAAATTGCCACATTCTAACTTTATCAAAAGTATCAACTTGCTTGTAAGTGAATTGTTGTTTTTGTTAATAAATTCAGTAAAACAAGTATTTATAGAAAACGTTTTATTGTTGTACTTAAGGATAGGTCAAACCATAAAATCACAATGTACAAACATATACATTTTAATCGAAGAGACCAAAACCCATATCTTCATCTTCTGATTCTGATTCTTCTTTCTTTTCTTCCTTCTTAGCTTCTGTAACAATATTGTCTTTTTAATAAAGTTAACTGTGCTAAATAATATTAAAAACGTCTTTTATCTGTCTCAGGTAAATAAAAGCATCACAATTATTTCAGTCGAAAGATGGTGAAATATAAGAATCATCACTAACAAGAGATTAAAACATAAATAACAAATAACAAAATTATTATGTACCTTTCTTTTCTTCAACCTTAGGTGCTTCGACAGCAGCAGCTGCTGCAACTGGAGCTGCACCACCACCTGCAGGCATGCTGCTCAATTTTTCACGTCCTGAAATTGAATAAAAGTTAGCAACTATGTTACAAGAACTCAAATATTAATATGAAAGTTAAGTTTCAATATTAATAATAAAAGTAGAAAATTACCTTGGGCAATAAGTTCATCAACTGATTTTCCATTTAGTTCAGAAATCACTTTCTTTAGTTTTTCTGAATCTGATTCTATACCAACAGAGCCTAAGATTTTCTCAATATCGGCGGCTGTTGGTGAGGCTTTGCCCCCCAGTACGGCAAGTAAATAAGCAGCCACGTAACGCATCTGAAAATATCAGTTAAAATTGGCTAATTGATAATCAGATACATTACTTATTAGATTATACAAAAAAATATGAAACAAACAAGTAAAAGTAGGATGTTTTAGAAAATAACCTCAAAAACTTTAATCACGAATTACTTAATCCATCCTTGACTTATATTATATTACAAACATTTTCATCTTATAAGAAAATTAAACTTAGTGTAAATATCCAAACTATTACTTACATTTAAGTCTTTTGACACGAAACGTGAATCTGCCACGAAATCAAAAAATTAAGGATAATTGAGGTTAGTCGGCACAAAACCACAGAAGGCAGACATGCGATTGAAAGATTGAAACCCTAGATAAGATATATATAATCTTTTATCTATGATTGCGACCATAGATTAATTGCAACTGCTAACATAGAAATTGTTCATAGATTAATGGAAATTGCCATAGATTCAAGAAACATATACCAGAAATTGCGATTGATCCACAATTGATCGAGTAATGGCAAACGTTTTCAGGAACTGATATGTAATCTTTATAAATACTATGACCATTTATAAATAATAAATATATTAATGTAAACCATGAACTTATTTTGCAATCTAGAAATAAATGGTCCTACTGTTTGTTACTTAGTAAAAGAAATTTATATTCACAATAAAGTTATTTAAGAGTGTTGTTCACGACTCACGTGAGACGGAAGATGATGAATGCATCCATATCAGGAAAAAAATATTTAAAATTATCCTAGAAAAAATTCTCTTAAACTTATTTTTTAACAATTGAAAATAACAAAAATAGTGTGTAGTATGACGAATTAAAATTTGCAGAATAAAAATAGAAGATATGTGAAAGGAAATGTAAATATACAGAGAAATTTAGAACCAGTTATAAGGAGATGGACAAGTCGGGTTTCCGTTATGCCAGCCTATAAAATATTTTTATGTTCGTCATACAATTTGCAATGTGGTTTTGGAAATTCCCACATTGTCCTAAATACTTTGTCAGCCAGAGATTTCATGAGAAGTGATGCAGTAGTTATTTGCTTCCTTTTGTTTTTACATACTATATCCTTTGTTGCCTGAT